CTCCATTTCAGTAAACCTTCAAAAAAGTAGGTTTCAACCTCCTGTCAAGATGAAAGCAACCCATTAATTATTTATTTCAAAGACAAACCATAATCAAAGTAAATAACAATAGTGATAGAGTAATATCTTAAGAAAATGATGACGATAGTCAAGCATTAAACTTTCATTTCTTAAAAAAGGGCACTAGCTAACATACTTGAAAAGCATTCAAGTGTACTATACAATAGTACAGTAAGGAGAGATGCTTAATTTAGTTGTAGCATATAATTCTCTAAAATCTATAAAACAGTCATACTAAGGAAAAAACTTTTTTTTCTATTATTTTTTACACTTTTAGGCCCATAAAAATCTACTGACTCTTCACAGTTCTTTAATCTTAAGGGGAAGTAATCTGGCATTTCTTATTAAAATGAAAACCAGGTATAGCCTTTGACCCAGTAATTCCCCCTTTGGAGATATTTCTTATAAAACTTGCAAAGATACAAGCATATAGATGTTTATTTAGCTTTATTGTAGTGGGGGAGAGAACATAAAACAGCCTAAATATCCAACATAGGAAAATGGTTGGAATAACTTGTGGTCTATACATACTAAGATATATTATATGGCAATTAAAATGATCTATACCATATTGAACAAGAAGGAGGTTGATGATATACCCCCCAAAGTGATAAAAGTTCCACAGCCAAGTGTACAGTAGGATCCAATTTTTCTTTTTAAAAAAGACCTCTATAAACATTCGCACATATTTTATGAGAGAAAAGAATGGAAGAATACACATACACCAAACTGCCAATATCAGTTTCCTCAGCAATAGGGGTGGAGGGCTGAGATAATACAATAGTCTAACTTCATCACTTTATTTAGCTTTTTAACATAGTATATATTACTTTGTATTTTGAAAGGTAAGACCAATAAATTATAACCATATACGTGTATATGCATGTGTATATATATGTACATATACATGTAGGTGTGTGTATATATATATATATAGAGAGAGAGAGAGAGAGAGAGAGGACAAATACATAAGCACATACACAAACAGCATGCTAAATCCTCCACATGTCAAAAAAAAAAGAGGTAAATCTACTTCTGAGAGACTGAAATGTTTAAAAAAATAAAAATGAAATAAAATCAATAGTTATGGAGACTAGAGAGGAAAAAAGAGAATCTAATTATACACTGTTCAGTGCCTCTTAAGGCAGAAGGGAAATACATCTAAATAGTTTAAAACCTTAAGGTAGAAGGCACTCCTAGCCTGGCACTGTGACTGGCACATGTCAACCATTGGTGACAGACTGTGTCCCTGTCCCTTTGCAATGTGACTTGCAGCCCCTACCCCAAGAGACAGAGTCTATTTCCTCGCCCCCTGAATCTGGCCTGGCCTCATGACTTGCTTGATCAATAACGTGCAATGGAAATGATCCTGTGACTGCCAGAGCTAGGTTAAGGGGCTTCGTAGTTTCTGCTTTTGCTCTCTTGGAAAGGTTCTGCCATTAAGAAAAGAAGCCCAGTCTAGCTTATTGGAGAGCAAGAGGCTGTGAGGACAACCTAGACCAACAAGTCCCAGACACTTGATTGAGGCCATTAAGCCCATCCAGCCCAGGATCCTATTCTAGGCTCTCTTCTCCACCAACTTAACATTCAACCCTTTAGTACTTTCAACCTCTCCTGTGACTTAAACTAAAAACCATATGCTGAATGTTAAGTCAGTAATTCACCCCTGAAGTCACCAGATCCATACATCCAAATGTCTTTTGGACACCGTCATTTGGATGGTCACAGGTATATCAAACTTAACCAGCCCAAAACAAAACCAACCCACGCTCTTTTTCCTACAAATCTATCTTGATGAATAATATCCTCAACCATCTAGTTGTTGAAACCAAAAAACTTCCATTCCCTTCCTTCCTGGATATCCAGCAGGTCACAAGCCCTATTGATCCTACTTATTTAATATCTCTGGAATCCTTCCCTTCTCTCCATTTGACTGCTACTACCATAATCATTTCTTACTTAGGTAACTACCAAATCCTCACAACTGGTTACCCTGACTCCAGTCCTACTTTTTCCTCCACACTAAAGCCAGAGAGATCTAAAGCTTAAACCTCATCAACCTCGTCATGTCACTCACTCCCCTAACTTACAATCCTAGAATTCCCATAGCTTCAGGATAAAATCTAAACTTAGCTTGCCATATGAAGCCCTTTATGATTCTTGACTCTCTCACCAGGTTCTCCCTTCCCCCATTCCAGTCACCATCAACACACACACACACACACACACACACACATACACGCACACAACCTACATACAATGATAACCACAATGAACTGCTTCGTAGTTTTCTGAATGTGACATGCATTTTCCGGCTCTGTTCCTTTATACAGGCTTCTCCCTCAGCCTAGACAGCCTTTCCTGTCCTCTTTGCCAAGCCAAAATCTATACAAACAACAAGACTAAATTCAGGTATCACTTTAATTACTTTATCTTTTTAAAACTTTTTAAAATTTATTTTTATTGATTTCAGAGAGGAAGGGAGAGAGCGAGAGAAACATCAATGATGAGCGAGAATAACTAATTGGCTGCCTCCTGCACACCCCACACTGGGGGTCTAGCTTGCAACCCAGACATGTGCCCTGACCAGGAATCAAACCATGACCTCCTGGTTCATAGGATGATGCTCAACCACCGAGTCACACCAGCCAGGCTACTGTATCATTTTTTACACACCACCCTACAACCCCAAATAATTTAGGTTAGGCTCCCTTAACTGTGAGTTCCCCAAGCATTATGTGCTTACCTCGAGAACATCATTTAACACACTGAATTCATACATTGGAGACAAGGCATTCAAAGAGAGAGTGAGCAGAGTCCAACTACAGCCAAGTGATGAACAGTTAAGAACTGAGATGGAATTCCTAAGCTGAAAGCATGTTATACTGGATCTTAAAAAGCCTAGCAGAGAATTAATTACTTGATGCCAACAAAAAACAAGATTTTTTTGAGAGGTGTGACTGAGTTACAGCATGGCTGGAAGTAGAAAGTAATTATGTAGTCCTAGTGCCTTTTAATAAAAGGGGAAACTAAGCCCAGGAAAGTGACTTGCTCATAATTTCTCTAAAATTGTAGCTTCAGAATATGAATCTGCAACAGTGCTTGGAATACATGTGGGACAGGGAGAGGCCGGGATCACAGAAGCCACCTGAGTATCAAGTCAGTTGTCTAACACAGCATCACCCAATAGAACTTTCTGCAATGATGGAAATGTTTCATTTCTGCACTTGTCCAATAAGGCAGCAACTACCCACATGTGACTACTGAGCATTTAAATTTTAAATTTAATTTAAATCTAATTTGCCATGCATGGCTATTGTATTAGGTCTAATGCATTTCATGTTCATAAAGGAATGGCTTGAAAAACAATCTACTTCTAAGAGGAGAGACTGAAAATTGACTACGAATAATTAGAAGACTGGTTAGTATAACATTCTCTTACCTCATCGTAGCTCGCAGTTCTGTCAATCCGGTGAATAATATCGATATTCACATTCCCCAATCGTTCAGCAAATGTTAGAAACTGCAAGGGAGCGAGGGAGCATATTTAAGATACATCATCATTTAACACTTATCAAGATAAGCCTACTCAGGAACTATCATTACATATAATGGTACCCTTCACACTTGCAATCTCAGACTTGTATTTTCCGTCAATCACAAAACTGTATAATGGAGTTTTGAAACTAAAAGTAGATTATCACTGATGAATCAAAAGTGTAAAAACACATGGAAAGACACAGAGCCTTAAACAAATGCACTGCGATGCTAGACAAAGGTAATAGGTCTATGAATATATTTGCATAAGTCTGTCAGTTATGTCATTTCAAATAAAATTCCCATGCTAGGTTGTGGTGGACCTAGGTGAAAGCTGGCGATGCGGCCTTGCTAGATCTACTGTTAGTTTTCACAGGTACCCGGCTAGGTCGTTGCAATAACCGTGTTTTTAAGCATAATATAAACCTAGGTTGTACCATAATAAAGGAACTCTCAGGGGACAGAGGAAGTGGGGTGGCGGCCATTGGCTGGAAATCACTCAGAGTCTCCCACCGGTCCGCCCCCTACTTTGACCTTTTAAAGATAAAACAGCAAAGGAGAACAGCTCCTAAGGCAGTGGTTCTCAACCTTCCTAATGCCGCGACCCTTGAATACAGTTCCTCATGTTGTGGTGACCCCCAATCATAACATTATTTTCGTTGCTACTTCATAACTGTAATTTTGCTACTGTTATGAATCGTCATGTAAACATCTGATATGCAGGATGTATTTTCATTGTTACAAATTGAACACAATTAAAGCATAGTGATTAATCACAAAAACAATATGTAATTATATATGTGTTTTCCGATGGTCTTAGGCGACCCCTGTGAAAGGGTCGTTGGACCCCCAAAGGGGTCTCGACCCACAGGTTGAGGACCTAAGGAATTCGCCTGTCAGAGTGAGTTTAACTCCGGCGGAAGGGGATCCAAGCACTCCCCGGACCCCACAAACTGCGGGCGAAATTAGCTGCCAGACTTCTTTCTCCGCCCCATGTTTACTACACGCGGAGAGCCCCCCTCTTCCGCTAGAGCCTCCGGGCAAGTGACTCCGGCGAGGCCCAGAACCCTGCGGCCCCGGATCCCGCTCAGGGCCAACTCCACGGCTGGGATTCCAGCGGCCCCGGCCCCTCGCTCACCCGGTGTGTGTTCTCCGTCTTGTGGGAAACGGGCTTTGGCTTCATGACGGCGGGGCGGCGGCGGCCCACGAGGGCCCGGGGAAAGGTCGGCGGATGCAACAGAAGGGAACGAGGGGAAACTCGTTGACACACTTGCGCTCTCGGCTCCCCAGGTGTCCAAACTCTTTCTCACGTGCGACCGGCGCGCCTGGGCGCCGCCATGTTGGAAAGGGGAGGAGCCTTGGAGGGTCACGTGGGCGGAAGGAGGGGACGGAGCAGGCGCAGCCTCGGGGGAGCCGGGGAGCGGGAGGCGCCGGCTGGTGGGTAGGTCGGTGGAGTTCTTTTTACTCCTTTTAGTAAAGGTATATAAGGAAAATGTGTATTTTTATTACAAAAGAAACCGTGTATAACATTATCAGCTCAGACTCACCACCGCTTAGTACGTATCCTGCACCCTGCGAAGTTCTTCACGCTCATAATGTCACAGGAAAGCGCGAATCAGGAACCTTTGTCTAGAAATATGTGGTAAAAATGTAGTCAAGGTTCCCAGGGCTTGCAAACAGAAAATACAGCTAGGCAAAACCCAGAGTATTCTGAAAAAGGAAAGAAAAGCTGGGAGTTCTTATAGTTTAAATTGTATTCTTGAGAAGGATCAGCCCTGCATCCTTAGCCTCTGGATTGATGCAAGATGATACACCTGTGATGACCCCTGGTCTGGATCAGTGTCCATTCTTTCCTGAATCCCTCAGGGGGTAATCAGAGGGTTATCCGAGGTCTCTGGTATATGCAGGCATTGACACAGCCTTTCCCCCTTTCTCCAACCACTTGGTTTTCGCAATGGAGCAGCTTCACTGTAGTGACTCCATTTTATTTCTTCGCTCAGTTCCTCAAGCACTGTGAACGATGCATGAATATAAATGAGGCACCTATTTTTAAGCCCTTTGGCATATGAAGAAAGGAAGGTAAGTGCAGTCTTGCAGAGGTCGCTCAGCTCCAAGGTCTGATACTCCTTTTTTTGTTGTTGTTAAATTTATCTTTATTGTTGAGAGTATTATAGATGTCCCTCTTTTTTTCTCCCACGGACCCCTTCATCCCTGTACCTCTTCGCCGAGGCCTTCATCACACTAGTGTCTGTGTCCAGGGGCTCTGCATATCTGCATATAAGTTCCCTGGTTAATCATGCCCTAAAGTTTGATATTCTTGACTTGGAGGTTTTTAAAGACTTTAGGATCCATCGTCTCTGATCCTGTGGCAGCCTTGTGAGGTAAGCAGGGTAGATGTAATTTCCTATGATGAACAATCAGCAGTGGCCAGGAAGATGATACTCTACCAAGAAGTGAAAAATAGAAATTTTAAATTAAAAAAAAAACTTATAATTTCATGCACAGCCATTAACATTTTGGTGTTTCCCCCGTCACTCTAATATCATGTTGTTAAACATAATTGTACAAACAGTTGTGTGTGAATACTGTATATATATTTTTTCACTGATTCATTGGAATATTTTTTGAGAGTCTACTATGGCCATGCATTGTTCTATGAGCTGAACAACACAGACAATAGGAGTACTAATAATAATAATTCTGTTTGGAAATATTTAATCTGAGGTGCTTACATCTTAGATAGCTAAGGAGCGATGTTAAGTAGACAATTGGAAACATCTCTGCTTTCAGCTCACTGTGGAGGTCAGGGCTGAAGGTGTGTATTAAATATCTTACATGCACTTTTACTGAAAGTGTGACGTACTTAAAGCCATGGAACTGGAGGAGATCATTTAGGGAGAACGGGAGAAAAAGGAGGATGAAGAAGAGAAGACCCACGTTTAACCCTGGAGTGCTCCAACAATTAGCAGTGGCCAGGAAGGTGATAGTCCACCAAGAAGTCACCAGAACCCCAACGCCCAGGAATACCTTTGTCACAAAAGCTGTGCAGTCACAGTGTTATAAGCACTCATCATTTTATAGACTAGGGAAGCTCGGAGAAATGAAATGACTCATGTGAGATGACAGTAAATGAACAGCAGAACTGGGAGCTATAATCCAGGTGTCATCACCCCCAGTTTAATAACTTTTCTATTACAATCAACTTTACTTCACGCTAGGTACAAAAGATGGTGGAGGATATTTCAAATCCCAGCACAGTCCCAAAGGCTTTTGAACTGGGTTTGGCTGGGGAATGTATTATTTTATGTGAGCGGCAGATTTTCTTTCCTAATGATTCCTTGCGAAAAATAGCGTAGGATGAAACACTGCCCTGATTGCACATTAATCAGATCATCTGGATGAAGATAATTCATATTAACAAGGCCTTTTATTTATAAAGGACTTGGAGGTTTTCAAAGACTTCAGCATCCATCATCTCTGATTCTGTGGCAGCCTTGTGAGGTAAGCGGAGTAGATATAATTTCCGTCATATTATAGCTGAAGAAGTAAAATAACCCCAGAGACAGCAAGTGGCTTATCAAGGTCATGTATCTTTAATTGCCGGTGTCAGGCTTTTTCTTCCACATTGAAAGGAATTGTTGCCACATGCATTTTCCCAGATGACTAATAGCTTACACTTTGTAGGTATGACTATGTACCAGATAATATTCCAAGTGCTTTGCATATAATGACTCATTTACTCGTCTGATAAAGTAAATTCTATGATCCCCATTTCCTGATGGGAAAACTGAGGCACAGAGAGACTAATTAACTTGCTCAAAGTCACATAGTCTCAGAAAGTAGTCAGAGCTGGAACCCAGACATAGGCAGTCTGTATCCAGAATCTGTGCTCATAGCCACCGCACTATGCTACCTCCAGTTAGGACATGGAAACAATTTTATGATTCAGGTAGCTCATAAGCACACTTCAAAGAGTCTTTGAGATTAAGTTCAGACACCTTATTGCTCTTAGACTGTCATAAGCCCTGTCACGTGTATGGCCACTAGATCTTATTATCTACTTATGTGATAGAGTGATGTGATCAAAATTTTATTTTTAGACTATTCACCTGGGCAGGGTGGAAGAAGCCTTGTGCATAACAATAGCTACTTTGGCATCAATGTTGGAAAGTGTTTACAGGTAGGAGTGAACTGACTTCTGCAGAAAAACAATGCTCAGTCATCACTCTCTTTTTTAAAAAAAATTTCATTAGTAATGCTGAGGAGTATAGAAGACATCTATTCCCCATTCTTTCAGTTGCAGTATTTCGATTTTCCTTTAGGAAATCCCCTCCTTATTTAGTCTTAGTCGATGTGGTTTCAGTACTAACCCACCCATCCCCTATCTCCAGGGTTGCATGCATGATCCTGGCCCAGGTCCCATGTATCTCCCTGAAAAAAAACCAAATGGTTGGTCAAGGACAGGTGTGTGATCCTGGTCAGTCTAATGAAAGTTGTCCCTACGACTTTTACTAGAACTATTGAAAAACAGACATTCTCTTCCACTTAATAACTAATACAATGGAGTATAAGCTGGTGGCTATTGGTGGCCATCTTGCCCCATGAGAGTATTTGCATGAGAATGACTCAAAGACAGGCAAGAGTAGAACCAAGTGATGGAGAGAATTAGGTTCCTAATGACAAATTTGGGGCATCTAGATCTAGCTGTGTCTACCCTTGGACTTTGCAATAACATAAGCCAAAAAATTCCCTTTTGTGTTTAAGCAAATCTAAGTCAGATTTCTGTTGCTTGCAACCTAGATCAATTTCCCTGATTAATAAATTGTTCTGCTTAATACAGGTCTAAAACCTGCTATGCCTGAAAGCTAAACTGCATCCATTATCTAATGCCACAGTAAAGCTGCATGGAAAAAAGCCACAGTGGTGTCCAAGTCTGTGGTTGATTCTGCTCTTCTGGGTTAGCCTTGGCTGATCTTTCTTCTTTTTTAATTAGTCACTCTTAACTCTCTTTTACTCAGGATGTGCTCATTTTGGTGATTCTGCTCTTCCGGGTTAGCCTTGGCTGATCTTTCTTCTTTTTTATTAGTCACTTTTAGCTCTCTTTTACTCAGGATGTGCTCATTTTGCCCACCTAGCAAGTCATAAATGCCAAAGTGAGAGCCCAAATGCTATTTATTTTCTCTTGTTTTCATTTCAGTGCATAAGCACTTAGCTATTAAGTTGTTGAAGTTAGAAATTTATTTTTCACCTACTTCACAAACATTTATCTACCCAACTGTTAGGAAAGAAAAATAACAACAAAGATATTGTTGTTACCTAAACAGTGTTGCTTCAGATATCTGGGAGTGGTGGCATGGTGTAATAAATGGGGAGTCCAATTTTAAAATTAATTTGTATTTTTTGATGGCCAAATCCTGTAATGAATCAGATGCAAACGCATGAATGACTACATTTTACAACTGGAAGAACCCCAAAGGGCCTTGGCTTATCTTGATTGGGCTTATTCAAGCATCTGTGGTCTGCTGACCACTGGTTGGGGACTGGCTGATCTAACATGGCCTTAACTTGAATGACTTGGCTACATGTCTGTTATATGTGGTCTCTCATCATCCCAAAGGCAAGCCTGGGTTTTTCTCATAGCAAGGGAGAGCCTGGAAGAGTGAAAGGCTTAGGCTCAGAACTGTCACAAGTCACACCACCACTTTTACTGTATGCTATTGGGCAAAGCAAGTCACAGGAACAGCCCATATTCCTTTCAGTTCGAGCCTCCAGAAAGATGGCTTTGGTGCAGGGACCTGAGGGGAATGCGGTGAGCTGAAAGTGTGCAAAAACAAGCTAAAGAGATGTCTGAAAGTTGAGAAGAAAGTAGCAGAGGAGGCATCCAAGCAGAAGGAGCTCAGGGAGAAACAACTAAGCCAGGGCTGCCACCAACCATACCACTGACAAGGATGTGGGTGCCAAAAAGGAGAGCCTAAACCCAAACGAATACTACAAGATCTGCAGCCAAGCAGTCCATCAGCTGAAGGCCAATGAGAAAGACCCATACTCACACAAGTTCCATAGAGGTGTCTCAGTCATTCACTTCATCCAAGAATACAGTCACCTGTAGCCTGGGAACCACCTGAGTGATATTACCATAAAGGTGGCAGTTCTTTTTCTAGATAGGATCCATGGGCCAAAAGAGCTTCCAAGGGGAAGCTCATCTTCTAAGACCTTTGAGAAGAGGGGATCAAGTTGCAAGTCATGGCCAATTCCAAGAATTATAAATCAGAAGAATCATCAAACTGCTTCGGGGAGACATAATTGAAGTTCAGGGGAATTCTGGGTAAACCAAGAAAGGTGAGCTCTGATTCCTAGGAAATCACAGTGCTGTATCCTTGCTTACATATGTTGCCTCATTTTCACTTTGGCCTTAAAGACAAGGAAACACGGTATCATCAAAGATACTTGAAATTGATCCTGAATGACGTGAGGCAAAAATGTATCATCCACTAAGATCATCACATATATAAGAAGTTTCTTGGATGAGTTGAGATTCCTAGAGGTTGAAACCCTCATGATGAACATCATCCCAGGGGGAGCTGTGACCAAGCCTTTTAGCACCATCCACAATGAGCTGGACCTGAACTTATGTATGAGAATTGCACCAGAACTCTGCCACAAGATGCTGATGGTTGGTGGCACTGACCGGGTTTATAAAATTGGACACCAGTTCCAGAATGAAGGAACTGATTTGACTCACAATCCTGAGTTCACTACCTGTGAGTTCTCCAAGGCCTCTGCAGATTATCATGACCTCAAGAAAATCATGGAGAAGATGATTTCGGGGATGGTAAAGCACATTACAGATGGTTACAAGGTTACCCACCATCCAGATGGCCTGGAGGGCCAAGCCTATGTTGTTGACTTCACCCCACCCTTCCAGAAAAAAGCAGCATGGTAGAAGAGCTTGAGGAAGCCTTGGGGGTGAAGCTGCCAGAAATTATCCTCTTTGAAACTGAAGAAATTTGCAAAATTCCTGATGATATCTATGTGGTGAAAGCTGTTGAATGCCCTCCACCTCGGACCACAGCTAGGATCCTTTCTGAGCTTGTTGAGGAGTTCCTGGAAGTGGCATGCATCAATCCTACATTCATCTATGATCACCTACAGATAATGAACCCTTTCGTAAAATGGAACCGCCCTAAAGAGGGAGGAAAAAAAAAAAAGCTTTGAGCTTTTTGTCATGAGGAAGGAAATATGCAATGCCTCCACTGAACTGAGTGACTCCATGAGGCAAGTGGCAGCTTTTTGAAGACTGATAGTAATTCACCAAAACCCATTTTCAATAGTTCAGCTTTGTCATTTCTAAATCAAGGATAACAATAGCACCCCCTTCACAGGGATATTGTAAGGATTAAATGTGTTAGTGCTATAAAGACTTAAAAACAGTGCCTGCTACACGGTCAGCATCCCATCGAAGTTCTCTGTTGCTGTTGTTATTATTATCATCCTCCTCCTTAGAGACTCAGCTAAAATGTTACTTCTTAGGTCCCTGGCCAGGTAGTTGGTTAGAGCATTGTCTGGATACACCAAGGTTGTGGGTTTGATCCCCGGTCAGGGCACATACAGAAATCAACCAATGGATGCATAAATAAGTGGAACAAAAAATCAAAAAAAAAAATAGCTCTCTCTCTCCTTTTTTTAAAGAAGTTACTTCCTATGTGAGGTCTTTCTTCTCCCTTTTCCCTTCTGTCCATTTCCCTGCCAGAGTTATATTGTATTATAACTGTTTTATGATTGGTCCCTCATCTACATCCTCTTGAGGACAAGGATTGTGTTTAGTTATTTTTATATCTCAAGTACATAGTATAGTCCCTAGATAGTATAGGCACTCACTAAATATTGAAGGGGGGGCGGGGAAGGAAGTGACGGAGGAAGGAAGGAAAACCATATAAGGGACAACATCTTGTCAAGGGTAGATTCATGAAAGGGCAGCCTGGTGAACTGCAAGGCAGCTTTAGTAGTCACCATATCCCAGGTCCCAGAGGGTCACTTGATAATGAACTCCTACCAGCTCAGGGACCAAGGCTGTTTGTACACCCTTCATGCCCTGCCTGGGATGCCTCTTGTGCACATCCTGTCCCCAGCTTTACGCCACCACTGCAGTACCAGCCACCAGTCCCTCTCTTCAGGTGCCCTGCATCTCGTTCTACTCGGGGGGCTACTCTCATGCCACTTCTTTGGACACATGAAGAAATGTGCTTTGAGTCTCACACATGCAAACATGCAAGTGTGCGAGAATTGGCGTCTCCTGGGGCAACTCAGCCACTGAAAGATGGGAGCTGGTGCGTAAACATTTCTCTCTCCTGGCTGTTGGGCAGATGACTCTGATTGGGTGACCAACTTGTCCTAGTTTTCCCAGGACTTTCCTGGTTTTCACACTGAAAGTACCACATTGCAGGAATCCCCTAATTCTGAAAGACATTCTATGAGACTCCTCCTGGGGTCCCAGTGGGGAA